ATACCTGTCCATTTTTTCTTTTTATTTAAAGATTGAATGAAAACCTCTTCACGATTCCAGTAAAATGACTTTTGACTGGAGCACGATATGTTCGCCATTTATCGATATAATACATATGTATGTATGTATGTGAAAAAAAGTGCGGTAAAGCGTTCGAAATTTAGTAAAAATAAAGTAATACTTTCGGATATAGATTTATAATATAAAGATAACTACGAAAAATAAATCGGGAACGAAAAGTTTTATTTGTTTCAAACAAAATACTTTAACAAAAGTCAACACAAATGAACAAAAATTTACCTTTTTACCAACCCAAATTTTTTTTTTACCAAATTTGGTAATCATTTACCAAAGTGGCAACCCTGCTTGTGACACTAAAAAACAACTCGTGAGATTTGCTCGTATATGTATGTTGTTGTAAATACCAGGGTATTATTTACTTAAGGACTAAAACTAAGTATTCAAGTATTTAGCTAGTTTCACCTAACGAAACACCGCGTACTTATGACTTCACTAGCAGACCCGGCGAACTTCGTCCCGCCCAAAATTTTTATATATTTTATTGAAACTTTTTGGTCCAACATTTTCACCAACAATTCACGTTTACGATTTTCATTGGCACATTTGTCTGCTAGTATTAAGGTTTGGTGGTCATTTGCCGCTTTAAATAACATAAGGAAAGTGTTATATCCGCTCTTGAAATTCTCCAGTTGTGCGGCATCTCATAGCACGGTTATTCGCAAAGCGAAATAAACTTTTTCCTCTTCCCCTTCTGGCGGCAACAATGACCCGGTTCTATAGTGAATGTCCTAGAAGCTTTGCAGTATAGTAGGTGGCAATTTCAAAATGGGTGCGAAACATTGTTCTACAGAAATGCAATATACATATACTTATTTCAGACGCAATACCTTAAAAGTTTGAACGCATAATAATATTGGAAAATCACATCCATAGGGCCAATTGCAACGCAGGAGCGTTCGATATAATCTGACCTTCACGGCCCCTTTTCTCACTTCGCTATTTTTAGTAATAGTTCGACTTCAGCACCACTTGGCAGCACGTTTTTGCAATAGTATTGCATACATATTTAAAACATTAGCCAAATCGGATCATAAATAAGATTTTTAGTAATAACTCAACTACAGCGCCAACTGTCGGATTAAATTGTGAAACTAAACCATCCAGAGACCCACTCAAATACACAAAAAGTTTCGTTAAAATCCGTGCAACCATTTAGGAGGAGATCACTCACAAACACACCTACAGAAGAATACAAAAATTCATTCAAAGATAGCTAAAGGTCGGTACATTTGAAGGCCTCACACCCCTTTTCAAATAGCCCAAATTTTCTCCATGAGTATGGGCTTGATTTCAACTATATACATATCTCCATACGAAGTTCCAGTACTGTACCATGAATACTTTCAGAGACATGCAGTATAAAAATTCGATTTATATGGGAGGTGCCACGACCCCCTTTCCAAGAGATGCCCTCCTTCTTCATGAGTATGCGATTGATTTCGTATATCTCCATACCAAGTTCCGGAACTCTACCATGAACACTTCCAAAATAGGCAGTATGAAAAATTAGGTTTGTATGGAAGATGCCACGCCCCCTTTTCCAATAGTTCCAATTTTTCTCCAAGAGTATGCGATTTATTTCGTACATCTCCATACAAAACTCTAGAACTCTATCAAAAAATTTCCAGAGATAAGCAGTATGAAAAATTCGGTTTGTATGGGAGATGTCACACCCCTTTTTACAATAGCTAAAATTTTTCTCCAAGGGTATGCGATTGATTTCGTATATCTCCATACCAATTTCCAAAACTCTACCATGCACACTTTCAGAGATATGTAGCATGAGAAATTCGGTTTGTATGGGAAGTGCCACGCCCCCTTTACATATAGATTTTTTTGAGCCTAAAACCATCCTTGGGACACGTGCGGCAGGTGGCAGTTTCAAAAAAATCGGTTCAGCCGCTCTCGAGCCTTGCAAAAACTAACAAACGGTTCTATATATATAATAGTTGAGATATATTATATATTATAATTATATTTTGACAGTATCCGTTGTTTCTGATTGGCGCAAAAAAATCTTGCCTAGTGACGAATTCGCCCCTTGATATGGTCGTTACTTAAAGCTATTTATATTCGAAATTGCATGAAAATTGGAAACCAAGGAATCTATAAGCTTATCCAGGCAAAAAGCTACCTACGTACCGAATTTTAAGCAAATCGGACCATAAATACGATTTCTTCGAACAGATCGGTCCCTGGTCTACTTCTCGGACAAAATGGATCATATATGCTAATATATGCTAAAAAGCTACCTGCGTACCGAATTTTAAGCAAATCGGACCGTAAATACGATTTCTTCGAATAGATCAGTCCCTGGTCCACTTCTCGAAAAAAATGGACCATATATCCCAATATATGCTAAAAAACTACTTAAGTCCCGAATTTTAAGCAAATCGGAACATAAATGCGATTTTTTGGAATAGATCGGTCCCTGGTCCACTTCTCGGAAAAAAATGATCACATATGCTAATACATGCTAAAAAGCTACCCGCGCACCGAATTTTAATCAAATCGGACCGTAAATTCGAATTTTTCGAACAGATCGGTCCCTGGACCACTTCCCGGAAAAAATGGGTCATATATGCTAATATATGCTAAAAACCTACTTACGTACTAAATTTTATGCAAATCGGACTATAATAAGATTTTTTCGAATAGACCGGTCCCTGGTCCACCTACCCGAAAAAAAGTAAAATTTTTTTAGCCTAAAACATGGTGGTTACCGAAAGCTATTCGTATACAAAATTTCATGAAAATCGGACCAGCCGTTCGCGAGATTACCTGTTACAAAAAAAAGGGACTTCTCTTTATATAATTAGTATAGAAGATTAAAAACTAAATACCTGCTATTCAATCAGTATAAAAATTAGGAATTTAGGATTTTTCAGAACTATTTCGGGTCTTTGGGACTATTTCTAGATATTCGATCTTTCAAGACTAAATATTTCTGATGTTTCCACTACTTCTCGACTTTCAGGTAGGCCCCGAAATTTGTGGGATAATTTCCGGATTTTCGAGGCTACTTTGGATTTTCGAAATTGTAAACGACTACTTATCGATTTTCGGGACTGTTTCTAAATATTCGGGGCTAGTTCGGGATTTTTAGAAATAAAATTAACTGTGATTTGCATCGCTGAGATGAGTCTCTATTGATAGTCATGGAGCGTCAAGTGAAAAACGTGAAAAACTTCCGTCTCATTACATTCCGCCAATTTTTTCTGCAAATAATTTTTTATAAAATGTAGTATAATTTTAGTCCAAAACGCGATTTCAGAGCGATTGAGAAATCAGAAATATTTTATAAATTGTTAATAACTTTTAACAAAAAAAAAAAATATGAAAAAATAACAAGTAATTTTTAAGCTAAAAACAAAACTGACCACCTGTACGGTAACATCTTTCATTTACAAAAAGAATTATAGCAATCGGTTAACGTGGTCCAAAGTTATGCGGTAACATACATAAAAAAAAATATATATTCCGACGAATTGATAACCATTCTCCTTTTTGTGAAGTCGGTTAAAAATGGGAAAAAATAAGAACCAAACAATTTCGAAAAAAGTTTATGGTCATAACTTCCAATATAATTCAAATTTCGAAAAACTGTGAATCTTTTTTTTTTAAGGTTGGGGGCCTTAAAAAATGAATTCCCCAAAAAAACCGACCTTCGAGAAAATGGTGAAAGGGTTTTACTCTCTGCAAATAAATACACCAAATACTTTTACTTTTCAAGATTAAGAAGCGGTTTAAAGTTATTTTTGCCGTTGGGGCTCGACATGCACGCGGCTGGAAGGAAACATGAGATCGTCAATTTTTTGTTTGTTTGTCTAATTCCCTGAGCCGCCCCTATTTTGACATGACATTTGATTCTATGTAGTAGTTTAAAAATATACACGTATACTTCTACAATCGCAAAAATTGTCATAGGCAGTCTTTCTTTGATTTCGAATTGACATATTGTATCAAATTGTCATAGCCATATAGAAGTATAACATGTGACGATAAGTGCCACGCCCATTCTTCCGTTTTACGCAACGTTAGCGTGCATTATAACCATACGATAGATAATTAAATAACCGCTCACTCCGTCCCGTTACTTCCATTAAAACCCGTGGCACTAAAGCTGTCATTTAAAAATGTTCTGGCTTAAGTTGTCAATTAACGAAATGAGGAATCAACTACCACCGACAAGTTTATAAATAACATTATTCTTCACTGAATTTCCATGTGGGAAAAATTTACAATTTTTAAAGTTCAACATGTTTCTAAGTTCCTCAAACCCAATAGAATCGATACACACTATTGCCTCTGATTATATCAAAGCATATTTCACACTCACTTGACGTTGGTGAATTTGTAATCAAATTTTTGGATTTTTTATTGATAGTAAATTCTATTTTGATGCTTTTCCTAAAACCCATTACAATAAAAAACTAAAAATGCATTTCTCGTGACACATTCGCTGTCAAACTATCAGGTGTCTCAATACATATGAGTATGAGTATACTAGCACATTATGCGATCCATGCGTAAGAAAGATCATATCCAATTTCGGAACAAGTTTCCTTCTATTTGTCATGCTACTCTGCCAACTATTCTTATGCACTCGACACAACTTTGAAACAGTTGTACTTGCGGCATAATCATTTTCCGCTCATTTTAATTTACATAATTTGTGTGTGTTTCGGCGTCACGGCGTCCGATGCCTTTGTCTCGAGTGATTTTATCGCATGCCCGTGTACCTATATAAAAATAAACAAATTAAAATCAGTTAAGTTCAGGTGGGCTGAATGGACCGACCGACCGACAGCTGCTAAGAATAATGCGTGATCGTTGGTTCTAGATTTTCGGATCAGCATAAAAGCTACGTTCGTAGCGCATCTCGTTTCAAATGTTAAACGTCAAGTGGGTGAATAGGAAGGGTTGAAAAGTATTTTTCCGCTATAAGCGCTGCTGGTATTTTATGGTATTTTTGTGTTGCAAATATTCCACTTCTGAATTTTGAAAAAAAAAAACAAGCCACATATTATGAATCAAGCCTCGCTTTATCATCATGCCAGCGCTGTACAGCGCCGTGATTCGAAACAGATTTTTCAGGAGTACATGAAAGTGATGCAATGGCGCGCAGATGAACACGATACACTCATCGATATTGGTTCGGGATCTGACAATGTGCTAATGGAATACATTTATCCCATGCTGCCGGCGCAATTCAATGCTGTTTTGGCCACAGATATTTCGGAGCGTATGATCGATTTCGCGCGCAAGAACTATGGCGACTCTGAGCGCGCGCACTTCGAGGTATTGGACATCACATGCGCGCAGCTGCCACAGCGGCTGTGCGGGCAATTCGATCATGTGACTTCTTTCTATTGCCTGCATTGGGTGCAGAATCAAAAGTGAGTTTACATGTGCTTGAGATCGGTGAAGAGCACACCGATGATTTTTTCATACATATTGCAGACGTGCCTTGTTGAATATCTTTCAATTGCTGCGCCGTAGTGGTGGTGACTGTCTACTCGTTTTCCTCGCGAATAACCCCATTTTTGATGTGTACATAGAATTGTCCAAGTCAAAAAAATGGGGTAGATATATGACAGATGCCATACAGTTTATATCACCGTTGCATAATAGTAGCGACCCGGGAGCTGAGTATAGCAAATTGTTGCAGGAGGCTGGCTTTGTGAACTTTAGCGTAGAGATCCGCAATGAGATCTTCGTCTATGATGGCACGCAGAATCTGAAAGGTTAGTGAGCGGTATTTTAGTGCTTTTGTATCAAGAAAACTCCTTGCTTCTTGAAATATTGCAGATAATGTGAAAGCTGTCTGCCCATTTCTCGAACGAATGCCCGAAACGCAGCATGAAGACTTTCTGGAAGATGTGATTAAAGCTGTGGTCGACATGAAGCTGCGTGAGGGCGATATTAATGCGAAAGATTTCAAGTTCATTGCACCTTACAAACTTGTTATGGTCTATGCGCGGAAACCCAACGAATATTTGAGTAGCATGATTGAAGAAGCGGAGCGATTGGCAAAGGGACTGAATTGAAGTGAAAGATTGGAAATTGCAATAACTTATACATATGTATGGAGACTTATTTTTAGTTATTTATGAACAACTTTTCAATGCATTATCGCAATGAAAATATCACCTCACTGGCATATAATCACAAATGATTAGAAATGTCAACATTAAAATTTAATTCTAAGATGCTTCGAATAGATTCCGGCTCGAACCGGAATCTGTAAGCGATCGCTAAGTCTTACCAGAGAAGACTTAAGAGCTTTCACCGGATACCTGACAGGAAACTCCAGGCTGAGCTATCATGGGTCATAACATAGAACATAGAAAACTAAGAAGGTGCATAGTAGTAGATTACGTTCCAACAAAATGCGGCTACGTGATACGTACGCACCACTGGGCTGGTTGCCTTCTACAACCAGTAGCCGCGTTTTGCTGGAACGTAGTCTACGACTATGCACCTTTTTAGTTTTCTATGTCCTTTGACTTAAGCACACTTAGGAAGAACAGTGGGAAAAAATTCGAAGCAAAATTTGCCTTAGTATCGGGTTTCGATACGACAGAAATCTATGCATTCCGAATATTCCTGGATAGGAACACCGGAAGAAATGCTGTTGACGTTATGTTAGTGGCGAATGCATTGCAAGGTAAATAATAACACATAAGAAATTACTTTTGACTAACTTTAGAACTTTGAAGACACATTTGATAGAAAATTTGCTGGTTCTGGCAAAGAATTCAATAGAGCGAGCGCAAAGTGGTTCCTTAAATTTGTTGGAAGTTTAGTGTTTGAGTGTAAAACGTAAACCAGATCAAATAAACCATGATTAGGCGGACCTGTGCGCAACAAAATATAAGTAATTTTTAAGCAAAAAACAAAACCGACTTCAATTCTCATATAAAAATTTAAAATTATCGGTAATATCTTCATGATCCAAGGATTTAAACCAAATTTTCCTTTACAAAAAAAGATTTTAAAAATCGGTTAACGTGGTCCAAAGTTGTGCGTTAAATAATAAAAAAAAAATATTCTGACGAATTGATAACCTTATCCTTTTTATGAAGTCGGTTAAAAAGTGAATTAGGGTTAACGCCAAAGCTATTATTTTTTACTGATATAGCTTTTTCTAGAGTCAGACTATTCGAAGATATTATTTTTTCCGTTCAAAAAATATCAGATAAATTTATTTTCACATTAAATGTTGTAAACATATATGTATACATACATACATACCAAAGTTCTCGAAATCTTTAAGAGTATCTTAGTTCTGTAACGATTTTTTTACGAATCTTGAAAGAATTTTATATGAATTGGTTGACATGAACTCGCAAAGAAATTTCTGTACAAAAAATAAAGAAAATTAGGAAAAAAATCTGGAAGAAATGCTTCACATAGCAGCATTATTTTCATTGCTTTGCTGATTTTCTTCGGAAATTTCGTAAAAGAATCGAAGTGTGCACAGTTTATTTTATTTTATAAAATTCGGCAAAATATCGGATGAGATCTTTACGAATCACTTAAAATTTCTCTACAATTCAGAATAATCTGAAAAAATGGTTTGCAGGGTATTTATAGAAAAGTTTTGTAATGTTCCCAGCCAGTTAATTTACGAATATATTTTAAGAGGGATTATCGATCTTCAAAAAGTTAGCTAAAGGCTCGTACATAAACGATAAAACAAAAAAGTGTAATAGACAGAGGCTTGTAGTAATTTGTCAGCACAAGAAAAACTGTTTATTTTGTAAGAAGTTTTTGTTCAACCACAATATTTTATAGTATATAATATTCACATAGGAATGCTTTTTCGATCCTTTTACGAGTGTTCGTAGGCGGTAAATGGCTATCATAAACGACTTTTTATCCGGTTTTTCTTCGAGAAAATATCCAGTTACGAGCTCGTTTACGATGATTTTGCTGACTGGGTTATTCACCGGCCACGCGTGCATGGGCAAGCCCGAAAAACTCAATACATTCAGAATTTTTTACTAGCAGAACTAGTACGAGCGACGGAACTTAAAATACTAGGGGCCTGGCACCTATACAGTAAATTTTGGGAAAGGCTGTGAGTTCCCTACAACACAAATTCCTGACTTCCGTTAGAATAGTGTTTCTCAACCCAAAAAACTTCTATGACAATATATATACATACATACATTATATCCTACGGCAAAAAAATTGGTTGTCACAGCCACAGCTAACTTGTACTTTTCACAAGCAAGTTCCAGGTCGTTTTCGATTTCTTCGCTGATAAGACGTATTATTTAGTTGGGGCGTGCAATTAGCATGTGCCGCCGTTCAGTTAATAAAAATTTAATGAAATATTTATTATCTGTTTGTAAACTATTATTATCAAGAAAAAATAAACAAACAAAAAATAATCATAAAAACAGCTTTCGCGAAAGATGCGCACGGGTCCGCCTAGTAATTAGGTAATCTAGTTTAACTATCTTCGTTAATGAAATCAGTACAAATTTTACTCGTAATGAAAATGAAATTTCATTATCACTAAAAATTTGTTTTTACTCCAATTTTACTGGTCGTGTAAAGTGCTTATCTATGATCGTAATGTGTTCTAAATGAGGGACGTCAACATTTTCCTGTGACTGCACTTGCTTTTAATCTACATAGATTTTTGTACGTACGTATGTATTGTATGTGTATGCAGAGTTCTGGCAATCTGAATTTATATGTATGTATAATATAAATATAAATATTTTTTGATTTCAAAATAAAAAAATAGGGGTATATTTCTTTCGATATAGAACAATCCTAGGGGGTGTCGGCATTAAAATTCCAACTTCATTTTTTTGGACCACTCTAATGTATATTGGGCCGCATGAACAAACACTAAGCAATAGCATTTTCTGAAAATTGCATTCATTTAAATAAATTTTACTTTTCACTTTTGGTTTCCTTGGTTTTTCTATGAGCGGATGACAGATTTTCGGGTGATTTTTTTTTCAGGTGAAACTCAGGATAAGGCAGAATATGAAAGTTTTTTACTTGATTGAGTACTTTCTTCATTCATTGAGTATTTTCTTCATTCGGGCGAAGAAAAAAAAAATTGGTTTTTCTTTTCATTTAATACCCAAAATCGATACTACTAAAGTCGAAGATATCACATATAAATTTCGGTACCGATTGGAGTCGGTGACCCCTGTGCGATAGGCCTTAACCGACTCCAATCGACTATAGTAGCATCGACGTAGGGATTGAGTTTTAGGAAATATGATGTAAAAATTTGCTTCCTACATTCAATGTGGTCCTTAATGTACATAAATATATTAATTAGGTTCGCAATTTTTATTTTCCTTTAATACTTTTTTTGTTTATCTAGTAAAAATACGTTGTTTTATGAGTTCATTTAGAAGCCTTTTAAATATTATCCTTTTGTTTTAAGTGAGTGCAACAGCCCGGGCATCGATACCAAAGTGTAACAAATCACACTGGTCGAATAATTCGGAATCTATTGTGGCAGTCCTATAGTTTAGGGTTGCACTTCAAGTTCCTTTTTTTTATACAAAAATTCTTCTCATGATTATCTCTCTGGTCTAGACAGAAAAAGGTAAGAACAGCATTTATGTTACTAGGGTGTTAATTTGGTAAGTATCAATCGAGTAAGAATTTTCAAATCTGTGGCATTGAAAATATACAAGCCAGCAATTTCCGCCTCGCCCCTCTCAGTGTTATAACAATATCCGTTTCTTTGTATTTTGCAGGTGGTCTTTTAGGCCTCCCCACGTATGAAGGCAGCATCAATTAAAAAGGAAAAGGCACGTGCAAAATTTGACGCATAAAAACATAAAGATACATTTAAATTGTACCATTAGATTCTAATATTTTTTTTTTTTAAATAATTTGTTTACATTGCAGTTTGATGACTCCTTAAACTATGTTTTTTTTTGCAAAATCTCTGTGATCGTCAAATGGCTGTGGCCTGAAGCATTTTTAAACCAATTTTGAAACCAACAAAACTACAAAAAATACCTTAGCATTGTTGTTTTTGGTTTCAAAATTGGTCCAGTAGAACCGCAAATTTACAAATTTCTGCAGCATCATAATTTCACGAAGCAAACAGTTTCAAGTTGATGGTCCAAACTTAAAAAAATGAGTAACTAAAAAGTCTTCAGAAGGCTTCAAAACTGCCATAAAATATAATCACAGCTCGCTGAATTTCCTTGCATAAACAACAACTAATTTGTACAGTGTAGTGCATTTGAAATCCGGTTCGCTGATTTGGCCGTTACACACTTTCATCTTAAGTAGAACTTGGATCAGATCAACCAGAAATTCCTCATGTTGACCTTCCGGTATACGTGATAAAAAAGGGGTAATAGCTTTCAAATTATCTACATACAAGAGTTTGTTATTTTCCTAAGTCGATTGCAACAGTGAATAAATAACACAAACCTTTAAAATTTTGCGCGCCCTCAAAGACAAAGGTCTCATTGCGTACCTCCACATTACAGTCCACAAAACCATTTTCAAGCAACAATTTGTTATAGTCAGCCACTGGATCTTCACTGTTATACAACGGTGAAATATATTTCATAGCATCCGCCATATAGCTACCCCATTTTTCTGACTTTGAGAGTTCCATAAACATTTCATAGAAGGGATGATTTGCGACGAAAACGAGTAGACAGTCACCGCCACTACGGCGCAGGAATTGATAGATATTCTGCAAGGCGCGTCTGCAATATATATATACATACATACATATGAAGGTATCGTTAGTGTGATCTTCACCGATCTCAACAGGCTAGTTTACCTTTGATTTTGCACCCAATTCAGGCAAAAGAAGGAGGTGAGGTGATCAAATTGCCCGCACAGGTGTTGTGGCAGCTGCGCAGAAGCGATATCTAACACTTCGAAGTTGGCGCGTTCAACGTCACCATACTTCTGGCGCGCGTAATCGATCATACGCTTGGAAATATCTGTGGCCATAACAGCGAATTTCGCCGGCAGCATTGGATAAATTTATTTCATTAGCACATTGCCAGGACCCGAACCGATACCGATGAGTGTGTCACGCCCATCTGCGCGCCATTTCATAATTTCCTTATATTCCTTAAAAATCTTCTC